TTCAAACTCATCTTTGCTTTGAAATGAGTTTGGGATGTGGAATTCCACGAGACAGGTTGATACAAAAATGCATCAGCATCCAAAAATGACAGCTTTACACATCCTTTTTGGTGACTTCTGCTTGGCCAAAATGAAGAGCCACTAATGCATTTCTGACAAAAAAGTCAGCACACACTCAAAAACACAGATTCTGATAAAATCAGAAATTTTTGTAATAGTTAGCTCTATCTAGAAAAAGGATTGCAGGAAATTTATGCATGATTTTCCTCCGGTTGAAGGGAGAAAAATAATTTTCATGCCCTGTTGTAAAGTTGAACACGAGCCGGCCTTATAATTAAATCAAACATTTTAAATTTTTAATAACATTAACATTAGGAAAATTGTTCAAAAATCAAAAAATTAGGAAATAGGTACTATTCAAAATTGCTGGCAAGGAGGGTCAAGGGGGGCAATTATATTGGAAGGGGTTGTTATTTGTGGTGAACCTTGGCTTGAGGGGCCATCGAAATGATGCCAATCATTGTCTTGTAGAAAGTAATAACCCTGGTAATCTGCATGCTATTCTGGCACTTTTAGCAAAGTGCAGTAAAACGCTACCTTCAATCAGCATTTCGCATTTTCACCAGCTAATGCCACATATTCAAGACAACTCAGAATGAGCTTATCAAGATATGTGGCTCTCTCATAAAAGAGAAATTTTAAATGAGGTAAAAGTGTCAAAATTATTTGCCATTCTTGCAGACAAAGCAGCAGATGTAAGTAATGTTGAACAGATGGCCATGGTTTTGAGATTTGTTGACAGTAACTCACATATAAGGAATCGTTTGATTTGATATGAAAAAGGATTAATTAATCAGATAATGAATTTTGAAACACTTCTCAAAACACAACAAGATTCAGAGAAGAAAATAATCGCCAAGTAAATAGTGATGATAGGAACTGTTTCTTATAAGACGAATAGTTTTCTATTCGTCCTATAAGAAATTAATCTTCTAATCAGTCTTCTAATTAGTCAGTTAGTCTTCTAGATAATAATTTAGATAAGCATTTCAGTAATGGAAAAACGAACTCCGAAAACTTAAGAGAACGGGCTCCTCAAGGTGGCCATGGTCACAAGATGAACTTATCAATGCCTTGGTACAGCAAAAGCTGATTGGGCTCAAAAACTTTGTGAAGCAGAAAACAAGGTCGGCCACTTGATGAAGATGGAAGCCAAGTTTACGGGTCTACACAAAGCACAAAAGAAACTCTTCAAGAACAAGATGAACCTTTAGAAAAGAAAAGAAAAACTCAGTTTTAAAACCTCCGTTATTAACCTCTTTTTATCGTACCAACGCTTTTATTATGTTGCATTTTGTTTCTTTTGATCTTATTTTAATAGAAATCTAGCATTGATTGTGCACCACCTCTCAATTGTGCCCCCTGCAAGACTTGTTGATTTTGAAGGTCTTAGTGTTGCTTATTTGTAAGGAAAGAAGTTGACCTTTTTTCCAAAGCTTGTGCTCCATCTACTTGGTTTGATTGCTATCTCATTTTTCTTACTATTAGCTAGGTAAGTTCAAACGATTGCCATCTTTTTTGCTAACATTATTGGTCATTAACAGACTTTTCATTTTCAATTCAATTAAAACTACAATTACAAATTTCACTATTACAAAGGTAATTTGCAATTGGCTAGCCTGGGTTTACAAAGAAAAAGACTATTACAAGCACAAACAAAAGAAATTAACAAAAAAAAAGGAAAAAGTATGTTCGTCATTGTTTGTTTTAGAAGTCGTCAGTAGCAGAGATCGTTAGAACTGAAGAAGTTCAGGATTATTCCAAGATTTATTTCTGCGGCAGAAAATGTAATAGGTGGTACGGATAGTTAAGTTGGATAGTTTGGAGATCATGAAGCGGAGATGATGCTCGCTGATATCTAGAGCGTTGCACATGTCTATGAAAGAGGAGCAAGAGAGACCAAAGATACCTAGGGAACTGATAGAAAGATTAACAAACATGATAGAGGAATAGGCTGAGCTTAGGCTGTGAATGAGATTCGAGTATTTCTCTCTTTTGCGGTTAGCATTAACATCCAAGTTAGTTTCGTATCCTACTGTAAGCTCGAGTATGAATAGTCGATGGTCAGAAGTGACTAGAAGTAGATCAGGACGGAAAGAGTCTCCTGTTATGATAGAGGGTGAGAGATAACCTGAAAGATCTGCGTAAAGAGAGCAATTAGGTATAGCTTTTAAAGATTGTGCTAGGAAGTTCAATGCAGAGTTATGGCGCCATGTGTAACGGCCTTCTTTGAGGTATGTTTTGCAGCCTGCAACAATGTGAAGTAACGTTTCTGGCATATGGCAAAAAGAGCAATCGGACGACTGAGTAATGTTCCATTTAGATAGGTTTTTTCGCGTGGCAAGGGAGTTGCTAAGATATTTGATAGTAAAACTGTAAATGTTCTTGGGCATGTTGCTTTGAACCGTGGTCCATATTTTAGAGGCTATAGGAAGAGAGTGGTCAAAGATGAAGGAAAGAACGGTACCTTGAGATACAAGATGGTTTTGAAGGCGCTCTTTATGTTCGGATCTAACAGCCTTCAATACTTCTCTAGTATTCCTGTAAACATCATATTGGATGTTCATGCTCTGGCTGGTATTTTTCCACAAAGATTGGATGTTTTTGTTGGGAGAGGATTTCAGTGCATTACGACAAACAGTTTGACACTGCATGAATTTAACAGAAGGAAGAATCAAGTTAAGACCGAACTGGTTTTTTGACAGAATAATGCCACTTAAAGTAGCACTTATGGGTAAATCGAGCCAACGGCGGATAAATGCAGAAACTTGATTATCAAGGTTTTCGACGATCCAGGTTTTTGATAGATCGGCTACTGTGAGGTGCCACGGAACTTGTGAGAGAAGATAGCTGTTATAAAGAAGCAGCTTATTCTTTGGATGGAGAGGTAAAGAATCAATTTGCGTTAAGAGTTCTGTGAAGATGGAGCTGAGCTTAGACATATGTTCTTGGTTGCTCATATTAAAGTCGAAGTGACGCCCAAGATACTTAAAAGACTCTCCAGTTATGACAGGAGGGACCATTTCACTATTGATGAAGAGCTTTGGCTGATATTGTAGGGAGCGTGTTGAGAATTTTTTAATACCAAAGGTTGTGCATTTGTGTACTCTTATAATCATGTTAATAATAACAATGATGATAATAAGAAAAACATCCATACAGGGTAAACCTTGTCAATATTACAATCACTGTTATCAATAAGGGCAATTGTTTGACATAGCATGTTGACACAAATGTTTGCTTTAATCAAAGAAATTTTTAAATTCTGTACACAACATGATTGTTCACAATTAAAAAGTTAAACCGTCAAATTACAATACGAACGCCCTTCAATAGTAATCGCCATTAATCTTCAATAGTAATCGTTATTGGGATGGAAAGTATCAAAATCTGCTAAAGTGCTGCAAATACTTACCTAACTTTTGTTTTTGTCTTAATCGTCTTTTTCTAATTATCTAAACCTGTCAAAAAGAGAAAAATATTCCCAAGATATTGCTAAGCTTCCATAAACTACAACTGTTTCATAGTGTTTCAAAAAGAAAATAATTTCATTGGAAAGTACAATGTTTTGAATAGTATTTGCACAAAGATTTCACAATGTAGAAAAGTCTTCTATTCTATGAAACCTTTTGTTAGTGAGCTTCTTTTAACCCTCTGTTTTATAAACTTAGAAATGTGCACTTGAAATAGAGAGCAATTGCATTACATTTATAGGTTTGATAAACTTTTAACTTCTTCATTACTGGCATGCCTGGTTTTGGTTTTCAAGACCAGAACAACTCCTGGTATGCTTCAATTCAGGGGCACAATCCCCTTGCATACCACTCAATGTATATCACTCAATAAAGCTAACACTGCCAATTTTTTACAAACCTGTTGGAAATTTTCTGTATTTTTGATCATTCTATTTATCTCATCCTTTCTTCGTTGCTCGTCTGGATCACTTGCTGCTGCTTGTTTTTCTGAATATGGCTTTAAAATCACATTTACCAAAAATTCCCGTGACAGAGAACGTTTCTTGCCTATTGTTAAGGTCTTCCAGAGGGACCTGGTGGATTATTCTTGTTGAAAAAAATCTTTCCACCACAGCATTTTGCTCTCAGTTATTCTGGCTGCTGCATTTTTTGTTTCTTTTCTGATCATTTCCAAATCGTTTTTCGTATCGAATTCGGGTTGCAATGCCAAAGGGAAATCGTTTTGGGGCACTCTGTCACCATTAATGTTACATGGTAGCCATTGCTTATCTGCTGCCCAGTTCTTGTAAGGCCAACCTGTCCAGAAGCTGTTTGTTTTAATTAAAAGAAAAGGGTTTGCTGTGAATGCGGATGTTAGTATTGTTTTTCAAAAGGAACCCTTTGAAATCGAATAGGAACAGAAGCCTGGTTACTGTTGGGCAAGGGGTATTTGCCTTGCGAAAAACACCTTCCAACTGCAGGAGCGTGACAGCATTTTCTTTTTGCAGTTGGACTGTGTTTCTACTGAACACCAAGGAAAAAGTTATATAAACTACAGTATCTAGCAATAATAACCATTAGAAAAGACAGTTCTATATCCTCCCAACCATTAGAAAAGACAGTTTGACCTAAAATGATAAAAACACATAACTAAGTAGGAAAAAGGTTAAAGACTTGTCAGTGAAAAATGCTTGCGACCAATCGAAAAAAGCAACATAGATGCAACACGCTATTTATAAACTCCAGTTGAATTTATCTTCCTAACGACATCCTTTTGAACCAGCCAGGCAAGTAATGCGAAGATGTAACAATTTTTATTTAGGAAAGTACAGAAATAGTGTAAAACAATTTTTTGCTTCATTTTGTAGACAGCAGTTCATAAACATATTTTTCAGTGTTCCAAATATCAACAGTGTGGATGTACTGTGTCAATATATACCAACACTCTGTAGAGCCTATTCATCACCATGTTATTAAATATGAAATCAACTATGACAATCATAATCATTCTTATTTTAATCCACACTTCGAGAATAAACCAATTAAAAAAACATAACAAAAAACTCTTCAAATCTCAATCTACTCTTTACAGGTACGGCCAGTCTCTACAATAATTGCAAGAATGTACCAGGTCCAGCCATCCGACCCACAAAGATATGCCTTGCGCCTTCTTCTACTCCACTGTAGAGGTCCAACATCCTTTGAAGATTTGAGAACAGTCGACGGTGAACTCCTAGAAACATTCAAGGATGCAGCAAGAGCATTGGGTTTAAAGGATGACGATGCCGAGCACAGGAACTGCCTACAAGAGGCATCAATAATCAACATGCCATACCAGATGAGACAACTCTTCGCAACGTTGATCATTTTCCACACTCCAGCTGACATCAGAACTTTATTTGATCAGTTCAAAGAATCAATGTCTGAAGATTACATCAGACACGACTGCCACCTACATAATGACCCAACAATACCTTTCCAGGACAGACATATGTACCTGTGCCTTTGGGACATTAACACCCTATTAAAAGTCCACGGGAAATCCATCGCAGATCCCGAATTTTCTGAGTTGCCACAGCTGCCAGATAATTTCCAGAATCCAGAGCAAGATGAGGAAAACATCGACATTGCTCAGGAAAGAGAGCAAGGACAAGAAATGTTGCACCGCCTCAACGATCAACAACGACACATTTTCGACACCGTCATGGAAGCTATTCAGACACATTCCGAAAACAACTGCTTCTTTGTTGACGGTCCAGCAGGGACAGGTAAAACTTTCCTCTATAATACAGTTGTCCACAACCTCCAGGCATTAGGAATTACTGTTAAATGTGTTGCTTATTCAGGCATTGCAAGCACATTGCTGATCAACGGAAGCACAGCACATTCTACATTCCAAATTCCCATCCCCATATTGCCTGACTCTACATGCAATATAAAGCGACAAAGTGTTAAAGCTCAAAAGCTTTTACAAACCACTGTATTTATCTGGGACGAGGCCTCAATGATCCCAGTCAATGCTTTAAAAGTAGTAGATATCCTACTCAGGGACATTACCCGAATTGATAGACCATTCGGAGGTAAATTCATGTTTCTTGGTGGTGATTTTAGACAGGTTCTCCCAGTTGTTCTTAAAGCAGGCAGAGAAGGAATCGTTCAGGAAAACATGAAGAATTCACCTCTATGGCCCCATTTCCGCAACTTTCAACTCGTCAGAAACATGAGAGCCATGCAAGACGAAAGATACCGAGAATTCTCAGATTGGCTCTTAAGAATTGGAAATGGAGAAGAGCCACAGGATGAAAACAATGACATCACAATTCCTGACCACATGTTGGTGCAGTCACTCGACGAGATTGTTGACTTTCTCTATCCACCACCGCCACCTGGAGAGCCAGACATAATGGGCGATCCAGTAGCAATGGCAGAACGTTGCTGCTTGACACCCACCAATGAGGCATCTCATGACATCAATCAACTCATTTTGGAAAGGATCCATGCACCAACTCAAACATTTTTCAGTACCAATAGGGTGATTACTGATGATCCCGAAAAAGCTCTAGCATATCCTATTGAGTTCCTCAATATCCAGACACCAACTGGTATGCCACTTCACCAGCTAGAGCTCAAGGTAATAACATTTCTTTCCTTTTCATAAAATTCTCCCCCCCCCCCCCTACCCAATAATTTCTCCTTACAGCAACATAAACCAACGAAACCTCATTTCATTTCAATTTGTCGTCTCCTCACCTTATACAAAAATCCCCTACACTACGGTAAAAATAAATTTATATTTCTTCTCTCACACATCAAGGTCGGTGCAACAATTATTTTACTAAGGAACATCAACCCTAAAAAAGGTCTCTGCAATGGAACCCGTCTCATTGTCCGCGACTTGCAACGTCATCTCATTTGGGCAGAAGTCATCGCCAGTGAACACAGAGGACGCTATGTAATGATTCCACGAATCACAATGTCTTCCAAAGATACCGCCCTCCCCATCGACATTGCTAGAGTACAATTTCCAGTGAGATTGGCATACTGTCTAACTATAAACAAAGCACAAGGGCAATCATTACGATACGTTGGTGTCTACCTCCCAGAGCCCGTTTTTACTCACGGCCAGTTATACGTAGCCATGTCAAGAGCCAAATCCTTTGCAGGGATCAAAGTCATGTTACCACGAGGTAACAAAACAAAAAACATCGTATACCCTGAAGTCCTACAATAAATTTTACAACCATTCACCCATTCGCACGCACTGAAATATACAGAAATTTATCTTTGTAGTACTAACTACCATCAAATACTATCATTGTTATAAATACTTTAAAAAGTACACAAACAATCTAGCGTTTCAAAAATTAGAGTACAACACCCTATCCACTTCAAATGTACCCCTACCTTCCACCCCCCAACAGAGAGAAAAAAAGAAGAAAAACCTTACTCCCTTATCCGAAACAATAAATAAAAAATAATACCTTTAGCTGTTTAACTCTAGACTTTACCTATTCTAACACAGCGCACCCCGCGAATTTCAAGGTGGAGAGGCCAGCTTCCATAAATCAAGCTCGAATTTAGCCCTTCAAAACCAGACCTCTACATAAATATTTTTCCTAATGAAGACATAGATCAGGCCATAGGCCCTCCCACTCCTCCCCCCCCCCCTCACGTGGGCCCTCTCTAAATATGTTGCAAACTAAATCATTTTCTATAACCACCACCTGCTGAACTATCAAATCTACAAGCACCACTTATGTTTTATAAAGAAATATATTTAGTTAAATCATAAACACTTTCGTATATGACATTGTTACTATTGTAATTACTGGCAGATTTTGTTTGACTCTTGAACAATATATTAATTCTCTCTTTGTATACTATCGCATTTTCGTCATAAGAAACAATTCAACTGTAATTCTTTATATTTATACATTTCTAAATCCTACCTTCCAATTCTCAATTACAATTTATAGAACACAATATCAGATACTTTAGCAAATAAACAAACACACTTAATTTTCCCAACACCTGATTATTTATACTTATTTTTTCTATCCCCACCCAAAGTACACGGCCCTTCAGTTCTAGACAGTTAGCGCTATCACCAAAATACCATGCAAAATATATCCACCCCCAAACCTCGACAATCGCCCAAATTTTCTAATCCCATATCATTAACGGTGTTTTCAGACTTCGCAAGGAAACCATTAAACTAGCACAATGAAAAATAACCAAACACAATAAGTTAACCGCTTCGCATTAAAATACATAACTTGCCGATAAGAATATCTTCCAACATCATTACAAATACAAAACATCCCCTCTACGGATACCGAGGATGTAAACACATCCCAACAAGCAAACATCTACGGTAGTTAATGCCAACACTAAAATTTATGTTTCCCATTTGCATTAAACCCACTCTACCCCACAGCTATATATAAGCAAACCTTAATCTTCAATAGCGCAACAAGTCTCTCTATTATAAATCACACAACGTCTGCACCGTGAGTCAAGAAAGGTGAGTATTACAGTTCCATTATCTTCAAAAACCCTTTCTCAGTCTTCCCAATACTGGTAAAACGTATGATACAAACTTACATATTCCCTTTTTTAAAAACTTTAATTTAAAGACCCTTATCTTCGTTGCACTCATCTCATCGCAGAAAAATTCCTCCTTTCCTTATCCGCATTTATATCTCTCTACAGCTATTCTCTGTACCTTATTGCAATGGGAAAATACTTTACCGTTAAACTTGGCAGTAAATCAAAGGTAACCATATTTACTTATCCTCTCCTCCCTTAATCTATATTTGCAAACTACCCCACTGGTATTTTCGAACACCCTCCCCTCATGAGCAATAACTTTTCTATTTACTTCTGTTATAGCAATTAGAGTGGATACCAGAACCCATATCGAAAACGAAAGTAAGAATCGCAAGATGCCTCCATATAAAACGAAAGATCACGTTCCACCTCGCAGCACCCGATGGGAAATATCTCCATAAAATAAGGTAAGAACTTACCACCAATCCCATATATACCTTCCATCTTCTTCAACTCTCAATATAATTTTTAATGCATTCCCAATTAACCTTATGAATAAATCTCCTTTCGTAAACTTTAAACGAAAGATACCTACTAGAACTTTTGTTCAAAATTGTGTAGCATGTTACCTTTTAAAATTTTACCTTCTCAACGCTTTCCCTAAACAGCGCCCTTATTGATAACAGTATTTTACATGTACTGAAAAGCTTATCCTGTACTATTTCATACCTTCCAAAAATTTCTACCAAGAAATTCAATCCAACTCTCAATTCCATATACTTCGTTATTCTACGTTACAATTAAATCTAAAACATAATTATCTCCTCCATTCTAGAGCAGAATCTATCGTCGTCGTAAAGCTTGCCAAACGAAGACGTCGGAACCAAACAAGCAGCAGTACCACCCACCAAAGAACAGAAAATCAGAACACGCAAAAAACTATAACTATAGTATTTAACTAATCTACCCCTAATTCTCTCCTAATCCTCGCATATATACCCTCCCCCTTTCTTCAAAAATTTTCACCTATTTTCAATTTATCGAAACAGATGCTTCAAAAACAAACTCCAAAATTTTCTTCAAATATACAACTTCCATCATATCAAATATTTTGAAAACATCTATTAGATTTTGCTTTAAATGTGCATATTGTTTTGAGGATTCTCAACTCTGCCGTTGCCTGAGCAGTATTAACTATTAATTGTTGTTCTTTTCAACATTAGCAAACATTTTCATAATTATTACGATAATGAAGTAAATATTTGTTTTTCTGCTAGAAATCTGCCATTGAACACAAGTAAGGATAGTTGATAATCAGTCAAGTTTTATAGCATGATAAAAAGTCCTCAAAAATGAAACATTAATGGAAGTGCTCAGAAATGAAACATTTGTGGAACTATATATATTCTCTTTCGGCAATATTTTAGACAAAGGTATTAAGTAAAATTCATATAAACATTAATTTATTTTCAAATTTGGTCGGGGTGAAGACGAAATAGATAAATCACTTTGCTGCATGCCTCTTCATGAAAATATCGAAATTTGAGCTTCTCCATATAAAATGGAGGTCGGGGGCAACCAAAAAACAAGTCTATTGCTTTACCAAATTTGAAGGCCTCATCCATTGGTATTAAAATGTCAAAACGAGGCGGAAACGCCCGAGCTGATATTAACACACCACCTAGCAACAATGAAATCACGTGATTTGAATCAGAAAGGAAGATTCTGTTGAAAGTAGCTAGATATATGTGAACTGTACCAAAAATAGCGTTAACATGATTATAATCTCGAAAAATCATCTGACCTATAGACATTTAATTGACAAGGTCTTAGTAGTACATTTAAAACGAACACCACCAACCTCTCCAACAGTTGAATGGTTTCCAAATTCCTTTTATTTGGCAAATAAATTAATTAATTAAGTCCTGGATGATAGACCTACTTATAATACGTACAGTAACAAGGTTCGCACATTAAACGCAATAATTAGGCTAGGCTAACCAGGGTCGCAATTTAAGATGCCTGAGTATTGTCAGAAATTGTAGTATGAAAGAACCATTTCCACAACATCAAACCTAATGTGCACGTAAAGAACGTTGAAGCTACCAATAAACATTGTTTAATTGCCTACAAATAAACAACAGAATGTTTCAAGCACACGGAAACAGCAAAATCACACTTTTGATAATCTACTGAGTTATTGATTTAAACTTTAACTGCTCTCTCACACTTTTCCTTCACCAATTTAGCAACCACCTTCACTATAATAACAAATTATGTAAAAAATCCTTCCCTAATACTGCAATTTTTCAATAATGTCCTTCAGCCTCACAATACATATATTCTGCTCTCTTCTGAGACCCATTTCAAGTTTCTCTCAAAACGGCAAACGAACAAGCCCCAATGGTGACTGCTCAATACTCATTCGATTTAGTCCATGTTCTAAAAAAAATATGTCATAAGTTCCCACACTTTATCTAAATAAACTACAATCCACTGAAAAGTTTCTACTGAATGTTATTGTAAATAGACTACAATCCTCCATAAAGTGTTTACTTAATGCTATTCATTTTTATTATTATGGAATGGAAGTAAACTAGCCTTTCTTGGCGACCCCGCCAAAGCGGGGTCTTGCAAGGCCCATTCTTGACGACCCCGCCAAAGCGGGGTCTGGGTGGCCCGCCGGCCCGCGAAAGCCCGAGCCAGTGGACCGCCGGCCCGCGGCACGCCCAGCCAGTGGACCGCCGGCCCGCGGCACGCCCAGCCAGTGGACCACCGGCCCGCAGCACGCCCAGCCAGTGGACCGCCGGCCCGCGGCACGCCGACCCAGTGGACCGCCGGCCCGCGACACACCGAGCAAGTGACCCGCAAGCCCCCGCCCAACCCTAGGTGCAAATTAGCAAAGAACGAACTAACGCCATCCCCAACACACAAAGCCCCCTCACACAAAACCCCAACACACACGACCCCAACACACACGACGTGCCCCCCGCAGAGGCGTGGCTCCCCCACAAAAGAGGCTCACGCCAAAAAGAGGCTGTACCTGCTCCCCCGCAGAGGCTGCAAGAACCACGCCCTCTCCCATCACAAAATTCTTCCTCAAAAAAAAGTGCAAAAACACTCGCACTCCTGCAGAATTCAGCGATAAAATCACTCGCGCTCCTACGCGATTTTTACTCGCACTCCTGTCACAGGCGCTAGAGGGCGGGGACCTTTTTTTTCGCCTCTCCTCCCCGCCCTCTAGCGATCATTTCCAAATGGTTTTTGTATCGAATTTGGGTTGCAATGCCAAAGGGAAATCGTTTTGGGGCACTCTGTCACCATTAATGTTACGTGGTAGCCATTGCTTATCTGCTGCCCAGTTCTTGCAAGGCCAACCTGTCCAGAAGCTGTTTGTTTTAATTTAAAAGCATAGGGTTTGCTGTGAATGCAGATGTTAGTGATGTATTTCAAAAGGAACCCTTTAAACTCGACGGGAACAGAAGCCTGGTTATTGTTGGGCAAGGGGTATTTGCCTTGCAAAAAAAAACCTTCCAACTGCAGGAGCGTGACAGCATTTTCTTTTTGCAGTTGGACTGTGTTTCTACTGAACACCAAGGAAAAAGTTATATAAACTACAGTATCTAGCAATAATAACCATTAGAAAAGACAGTTCTATATCCTCCCAACCATTAGAAAAGACAGTTTGACCTTAAATGATAAAAACACATAACTTAGTAGGAAAAAGGTTAAAGACTTGTCAGTGAAAAATGCTTGAGAAAAATCGAAAAAAGCAACATAGATGCAACACGCTATTTATAAACTCCAGTTGAATTTATCTTCCTAACGACATCCTTTTGAACCAGCCAGGCAAGTAATGCGAAGATGTAACAATTTTTATTTAGGAAAGTACAGAAATAGCGTAAAACAATTTTTTGCTTCATTTTGTAGACAGCAGTTCATAAACATATTTGTCAGTGTTGCAAATATCAACAGTGTGGATGTACTGTGTCAATATATACCAACACTCTGTAGAGCCTATTCATCACCAAATATTTTACAATTATTTTTGTTATTAAATATGAAAAAATTAAATGGAAATTTTAAATTTAAGGAAAAATAATGCAGATAGATACCTTTGATTTTGAAAGCCAACGTAGGATATTAGTTTTGGATTGATCCATGGCGTTAGAAATTATTGAGATATATTTCTTTGGGTTTTTTCGCCCTTTAGCGATGTGGTGGTAATATCTCTGTCTTGCTGCTCTAGGAAGATATAAAGGTCATCGTTCAATTTCTATGTATCATTACATGAATGACATCAAAAATATATTGTCTGATCTGAATAAAAATGCTGTTAACTTTGTCGGTATATCTAATATTTTATTGCCTTACTTACTGTTGCTGCTCGATGCGCTTTTTTCTGAAGGAGTCTTTTTCATCTGTCTGGATTTGTGGAAGCAGTAGTCAAATCTTTTGAAAGCACGCAGACGACACATTTTGTAAATTTGCCTTTTCGCTGAAAGATATATACATCTTTAATATATACTATATAAGCGCATCTATAATATATACAAGTCACATTTTTAAAACCCAAAAGCCCATTCAGCCTTTTAAAATGCCGCAACTCGTTTTAAAGACAGAAGATCTTATGTATTCTTACCCTTGAAATTTTCAGATGCTTAAAGTCTTCTTTCTACTTTTTCTCGAAAAGCTGTATATCCCAGGACTTTCCCTTCTTTATTGTCTAATGTATATGTAGCCTGCAGCTCTTTTCTAGAGAAACAGCCAGTGTATTGTTTTGTTGTCATCGGTAAGAATTTCAAGGTATATTTGGCCACAAAAACAACAGCAACAACTAAAAAACAACAACAAAAACTAAAAAAAGACATCAACAGCAACATTTGATCCCATTCGCAGTCTACTCTTCTCCAAGAATTGAAAGAACTTGAAGAACATTTATGGAAGAATAGATGAAAATAGATTTTAGAGAGAAGCGTTACCTGATTCATATCCAAAAGCTAATTTTAAAAAAGCTGCTACAAATTTTTTAATTCTTCGCAAGTCGCTCTAAATCCGAACCTACTAGTACCAACCAAAAGAAAGGGGTAGATACCTTAAGCACTCTTATGCACCCAATAAATGATGACCAAATGGTCAGTGTCACTGAATCTCCTCCAATTTCACCTTTACAGAGTTTACAAAGCAGTGCAAGTGATGACGGAATTGATGAAGTAAGTTAAACTTTCCCTGGCATACATCAGCACAACTCAATAAAACCAGGTGCATCCTTTTTTTGTATTTGATGAGCACCTTTGTACTGGAGCTGTCAGAAGGCAAGGGAGGGATAATTTTTAGTAAAATATATTTGTTAATGGTTTGATAACCAAATTTTCCTACTCAAAAGTTCAATGTAAAGACCAGGTGCAACTGGCTTCTGGTTGATTTACTGTGCTTTCCACATCTATTTCAACATTTTTGGATTAACATCCAGATTTTACAATCCCAACTTTGGTTTGTTCCCAAGTCAGGGATGAAAAGCTATCTTTCCATGAATTTAGGTTTTCTAGATAACTACACAGGGGATGTGTTGTGCCACCAATTCAGGTCAAATACATGATTATTGTTTTCATTTTTAGAAATAACATTTGTTCAAATAGTTTAAATTGTTAAATAAAAATCTAATACTGTAAAAGCTCTATTAAGGAGGCAGTTAAGGGTAAAAATGCTCAACAACTGAAAATATAGACAAAATTCAAAAATTGCTTTTTTGCATTCATTGATGCATATTCTATGCCCCTGAGGTTGACAAGCTGGTATTTGAAGCTTTTCTTTTGAGAATTTTCGATTTGTTGTGAATTAAAGGACAAGTGACACACTTTTCACCCTATCTTTTCTTTTCATTAACTTATAGATCATCTTTTAGAAGTAAGTTTTTCCTGGTTTGGAACAAAAAATTCTAATCAGGGGGCGCAGGGGACGCGATTTTGCTTTTTATCACGTGACCCTATGACTTACATTGTGATAACTCGGAATTTTCCTGTAATTTATAAAGAGTTTACGAAACACGACGCAACAGGTCCAGACGAACTGTATTCGTTTAAAAGCGTGTTGTAAACGTTAATATTGCACTCTATACCAGTAGCAGCAATAAAAAATTGTCACAATCTACGTCACGGTGTCACGTGATTCATTTCCCGCCAGAATTTCAAATGGGTTTTTAAGTGGGAAAATGAAATCAGAAAGGAAAAATATTTCAACAACACTCTCATACAGCATTTTACTTTAATTTAAAAGAAAAAAAAAATTTGGCGCCAAAAGCGTGTCACTTGTCCTTTAAAATGTTACACCTTCTCAGCAACAAATCTTTTTTGGTTGCTATGGTAAGTTTTTAAAAAAAAAGCCAAATAGAGCAGACATTTAAACCGACAGAAGTCCCAGGTCCCACATCAATTGTCCATTCTGTCTTTTCCAGCCTTATTACCATTCAAAATTGCATTCACTTCAACTCAGTTTCTTCAATCTTGATTGTTCCCTCGTGAAATGCTTTCAGTTCCCAAACCAAAATGTAGCCTCTTTAAAAGTTTCGATCTATTCGGGGGAAAGTACATAAGGGATTCAAAGGTATAAAGATCCAAGATATTCGTGAAGTAGAACGTGTAGGTCACATTCAAAAAAGAATTGGCACTGCCTTGAGAGAATTCAAAAATGAAAGAAAAAGCTGTAAACTTTCAGATGGAAAATATGTTGGAGGTAAAGGAAGACTTACAAAAGTTGTTATTGACAATATTCAAAACTTTTATGGATCAGCAATACGAAATAACAAAGGATCAATTGATGGAATGAAGCAAGGTATCAAAACCATTCAGCATCATTGTATAAAAAACAACTCTTTATAATTGGAAGAACAACACCAGTTTTGCCCTTAAAATCGAGATACATGGTGTAAGTTCTGGAAGTAAAGGTTATACAATGAGGGAAAATATTGCCAAGATGAAAGGCTACCTGGTGTTTTTTTTGAAGAACTTATAAGAATATATGATTATTATTATCTTATGCTTGCTGTAGTCACGTCTTACGTTATGTTGAATCTTATTGGACAATGAACTCTTTGATAACTCGCTTACCACACTGCTTTTACACTCGAATGTGTTAGCCGTTGTATTAGGCCTGGTAACTGCTTCCGATTAAATGTAACAGGTTATGGGCCCAGGGAGAGCTTCTCGGCCTAGTTATTTGCTGGAATAACGGTGTAAATCAGCAGTAGATATGTGATGTTCGTTTGTCTCTTTGACGTGGGTAAATTTGGAATATTTTGTTGAGAAGGAACGTGGTCGTCTCAAGAATCAAGGAAAGATGGCCGAACTTACGAAAATTGAACCTCTTGACGGTACAAACTATCGTGTGTTGATGGAACGCCAATATTTGAAAGGTTTTCAGATTATTCATTGCTTCAAAGATGCCTGAAAGGATTGACCTAAGTGAGGATGGACCCAGAAAGCTTAAGTTTGGACAAACAGGTGCCCAAAAACAAAGTACTATGGGACCACAAAAGTTAAAATAGCTGTTTGTGAGGCAGTTTCCATGTGGAAAACTGGAGCTGCAAGTAGAGCTCTGCTGATGAAATCTTTGGGTATCAAAGACCTTGGTCCTCATAT